AACACCACCCCCCCCCAAAAAAAACAAACAAAAAAAAACCCCAAAACAAAAAAACCCCTCAAACACTACACTCTATGCTTTAGGAGACTCTAGAGTAGATGAAGCTCAGGAATTTAGGACAAGTATTTCACTCCTTCTACTAAGAAGGGTCTGGCAGAGCTGGAGTGGTAGGAGGGAAGGAAGCAGCCTGGCATCTAGCTGTTGGACTGGACATTTCTAGTGTGGTATGGCAAAGGTGTTCATTAAAAGAAGCTGATTAAAATCAGTATCTGGTATTTGGCCTCACTCTTTCTCTTTCTGTTGAATATAGCCAGATGCAATGACAATGGATGCTGTAAAAAATTAAACAAACAGAAATATCCAAGGCTACAGGAGTCCTGCAGATGAGTGAACCCTTTTATATAATTTCAGGCCAAAAAAGCGATAACAAAAATAAATGCGCTATTCCAGAGTACCCCGTAATTTAGATTTAGTACCACTGTTCTTTCAAATGCTAGGTTTAAAAAGTAGGGCCTTCTTGAATTCTGAGTTGCTGCTGACCTTGTCTTTGCCTGCAGGAGCTGCAGTCTCATGTGCCTGATGGTCAGCGTCTCTTTGAGGACCTTCTTCATCTTCATCCTGTCATTGGAAACTCTGAAGATCTGGAGGACCTGCGTTACCGATGGATGCTCTACAAATCTAAATTGAAAGAGTCCATGAGTTCATTGGTAGGTGACAGCACTCAATTCACAGTTGCTGATCTCTGCCATTGCTCTCTTAGGTTGCTAGTCATTGCTAGTCATAATTCAACAGTACGTTTTTGTGTCTGCTTAATTAAAACCCTTAGTAAATGCCATCAAAGACAGAGCAAACATAGCCATGTATTTATAAATATGAGCACAAATATTCTTGTATTAAAATAAGAGTTGTGCGCTTTTTCCCTTTGTAAGCAATGCTCAGAATATTTCTCAAAATGGAAGGTTCAAAACAGAACGGCAATTGGCTGTTGTCAAATATGCATGCAGTTGCGGACTGTGAGAGGTTTGTGTGTGTGAGTATTTTGGATATACACCTAGTTCTGGGCCCGTGGATTTCTAGCTTTTTGCCCTTTCTCCACACAACATTCTCCATTGAATTATTTTTTTAACAGTTCCTGCAGTAAGAATATATTCACTGTTCATTATTTGTGTCTCCTGCTATGAGACAGAGTGATCAGAATAGCCACTGGCTGAACACAGAAAGTAACTGTGCACAGAATCATAGAATCATAGAATC